CTATATTTTGTTCAGTGGGAAGTCTGCAGCATTCATTGCATGGCATGTTCACACCAAATCCCTAACATTGACCAACATTTACACTCTTTACCACAGATGTTACTCCTCTAGGTTCCTCTTAGGGTGTGTTCTCTTGGTTCTTTTGGTCTGGACTACATTTAGTCCTGTTTTGCTTAGTGCTCAATCTGTCATTTTTAACACCGAATCAAAAGATATAACAAAACACTTACCAAACACCCAAAACAATGCGCTCATTTTATGTGCATAGCCGACATATGATAATATTTTGACCAGCTGAGAACTCGTAAAGAGCTTATAAAATGTGTAAAGGAGTCAAAACAGTGGCAGAAATTCCATCACACACACAAAGAAAGATCTGCTGCGAGGAGATGCGGTTCTGATACCTGTACTGTGATGAGAGGAACCAGGTATGCCTGAACATTATACTTTTTAGGGTCGCATCTTGTGACATCACGTCCTGATTTTGTTTCATTTAGATGTCTTCGGTCAGTGTTGCGTTCATATTTCAGTCAAACCGTATCAGAGTTGGTTTGGACGTGTACCGAGCCCCACTGCTTGTTTTGGTGCGCACCGCGGTTCGGATAGCAGCCTTCATACCAACATAGCAATGTTTTAACACAACCAAATATGCCGAGTGTGAACACACCCTAAGTCATGTCTGTGTCCGGCATGATCTTACAGCTTCACTCACCTCATCTTCTGTTCTTTATGTCACACATCCCGTATGCCTGTCTGTCTGTAAATGTTGAATGGTACGGGGTAAAAGCTCTCATACAGAGAATTGAGCTCAGCTTATTCAGCAGATTTTTTTAAGAATTTCCGATTAAAGGAGAACTTTGGCGCAAAATGAAATGAACCTTTGGTCTAATAACACATCGGTATCTAGTCGACCGTTCTCTGAGATTTGTTTTCATGATAATCAAATGTAAAGAGTTTCATCTCTAAAAACTGTTTAGCATATATGCTTGTATATGGGGGCATATAATAAGTAAAGAGAAATTGCTAGTTAATACCACTAACAAGGCTCAAAATAGCCCCACACTAACACAGTTACATAATGAGGGTCCACACATGCAAAATGAAGCATTGAGAACATTGTAAGTGTACAGACCGTTTAATAAGAAGATACTTTATAAAGACAGTTCACTTCGCGTATACAGACAGGAGCCATCTTTGGAAAACGACAAGTCGAACCACGAACGACGTGCCAAATGAGCTGAACTGTATGAAGTTCAGCAAACTTCTGAACTGTATGGACGGCGTTCGTGGTTCGACTTGTCGAGACTGTTTTCCAAAGATGGCTGCTGCCTGGATACACAAAAGCTGTGTCTGAAACCGCTCACTCGTTCACTCATTCACTAATCCCTATATAGTGTATGGCATTTGAGTGCACTATATCTGCAAGGAGTGAAGGAGATGAAGTGAGTGAATTCGGACGCTGACCTTTACACTGTGCGTCGGAGAGTTGGAGCTGTCGCAGAAAAGGCTTCGTCACGCATACTGATAAAACTCCTTTTATCTTACATTACCTACTTTATAAAATAATATTAACAACAATAACAATCATAATGACTTTATTTTGTAATTATACCTCCGTGCCAGCTTTGTAGTTTCATCGACTGAAATTGTACATTAACTCTCACGTTCACAGATGACGTGTCGTCGAGCGCCCTCCGGCGACCGTTATTATGTTCAAAACGACGATTAACGGACATTTTTCAAATCCTCCACTGGATGTAATGTAATCTCTGGTTTAAACTTGCTCGCGCCGAACTTTCATGCGCGCTCAGTTCTCTCCGCATTGGATTGTGGGAAATAGGGCTTCAGCGAGTGTACATCGAATGTACACTCGAATTCAGAGAGGATTGTGGGTAAAAGTAGTGAATGAATGTAGGGAATGATGTCGTTCACTCAGAATTCGGACACCACTACAAAATGGCCGACACCCGATATAGTGCACTATTTAGTGGATAGGGAGCGATTTCAGACACAGCTAAAGTCTTTATAAAGTATCTTCTTATTAAACGGTTTGAACACTTGCAATGTTCTCAATGCTTCGTTTTGCATGTAGGGACCCTCATTATGTGACCGTGTTAGTGTGGGGCTATTTTGAGCCTTGTTAGTGGTATAAACTAGCGAGTTCTTTATACTTATTATATGCCCCCATATACTAGCACATATGCTAAACAGATAAAACTCTTTACATTTGATTATCATGAAAACAAATCTCAGAGAACGGTTGACTAGATACCAATGTTTTATTAGACCAAAGGTTCATTTTGCGCCGGAGTTCTCCTTTAAGATAGTCCTTCAATCAATTCTTGACTGACTCACAATATTACAACAATTCATTGTATTTATGTGTGGAATGAAGCGCTAGTCCCTAAATCACTGCAGATCATAATTGTGAGATTTTTGTGCAAAGTTTTCGTCAGTGAACACTACTAGCACTGTGCTGTAATGCTAACACCCTATTTTAATTAAAGCTTTTGTTAGCCAGCAAAAAATCTCCACCAGTGTGGAGATTGACTGTTTTATTTACAATAATCGGTATGATTTTTCAGAAGGAATTTTGTTCAGGATGCATTAAATTTGATCGAAAGTAACAGATACAACAGTCATGTCGAGATTTCTATTTTCATCCAAGAATCCTGAAAAAAAAATGCATCTCGGTTTCCATAAACAAACTCAGCGCTCATGTCTAGATCTGGTTTCAAATATTTGAATGACTAATGTTTCATTATATGAAATGGCATTTTACTTCCGGAACCCTTCTGCCGAGTGAGATTGATTTACAGAAGGAATTCAGGTACAATATTACATGAGAGTAGAGTTACTAGTGGGTTGTAATTCTGACATTTCCTTTTTTTAGTTTAGTGTTTGAATAAATGTAAACGTATGAACTTTTGCATTGATTGTCTTGTATTTTACGTGCTCCTGCTACTGTTTTCCCTCCCAGCCTGCTCGTACCTTTATCTTATATCTCTTCTTCTGTTTTTCTTCCTCCTGTCTCTACTTACTCTTACATCCCACACCAATGCCCATCACTTTGCATCTTTCCTGTCCCTCACTCCTGTCCTTTTCCCACCCTCTCGTCCTTTCTATCTGTCCATTCTCGCACCCCAAGAAAGAAATGCTGTGATTTTTCTCCTCCTTACCAAACCTCCAGTAGAAAACATTGGGCTCATCAAGGTAAAGGGAAAAGGCTTGAAACGGAAGGTCTTTCACGCTAGCTGTGAATGGTATGCTGGAACCAAAAACGGCAAAGTACCTTTTTTTTTTTCCCCCTCCCTGTTCCTCTTTTACAATGTAGTTTGTGTTGCGATATCATAACTGCACCCCTGTTGGTCTCATCCAAGGGACGACGTGTCGGATTTCAGCGTTGATTAGTCCCAGCATCCCTTGTGATTCGCTCTGTGAAGTTCACCCACAATGCACTGGTGCATTAACCTCTCACGCCCTTCAGGAAGGGCTTTTTCACACTTATTTTGCTCTCAATTGGTTACATTTATTGTACAATTTGCCCAAATGGCTTTAACCAAAGTATCAGAGAGGTATTTTCCCTTTCCAATCTGAGTGAAATTCACAATGAGACTTAAAAAAAATATCACATTTTCTAGTATAGACATTTATTTCCCTCCTTTCAACCCAATTTCGTTGTATATTTCATATTCTAATGCACAAACCCAAGCTGAATTTAACCCTTTAATGAGATGCGTCACTCGAGTAGATGTTTGAGAACAGCGCAGTGAGAAGGATCCGGCCGTCATGACGTTCTGATCTCTCTCTCTTCTTCCTCCCCCGACAGGCTCATGCCTCGAGAGTCAGCAGGCCGAAAGTCCAGCAATGCAGGTCGACGGGAGCGATTTAGCCTCGCCAATGTCACCTCGTGCTAGCAAGAGCCGAATGTCCATGAAGCTTCGCCGTTCCTCGGGTTCCGCCAACAAGACTTGACTTAAGTGAGCAAACTCACACACATGACAACTTCCTGCGGGACACTCCAGAACTCCGCCCACTGCACTGTCAGAGATAAGCCACGCCCTCTTGCCTGCGATAGCTGTCTGACTCCTCCCATCCAGAGCCAGAAAGATCAAAGACAACTGAAATGTTTATTTTTGTCGCGCTCTGATGGACATCGCATCGCATTGCATTTTACGTCAGCTGGTGCCAGTCCACTCAGAGTGCCAGTGATCACATAAAGTCGCCACCGTATCAACCACAACTTTTTTTTACATATATATATTTGTACTGAAGACGCACTGAGGTTTTCGACATATTCGACGGCTGGAGAAGTGCTCGACGTGTTTGTGGAGCAGATTTACGTTTAAACTCAAGCACTTCTTGCTGTTACGTTTTTTTTTTTTTTTTTTCACTGCTAATGTTTTGACACACAGGTTTGTTGGTTTATTTGCCGGTTTTCTTTATGGATCACGGTTTATTGCAATTTGTACATTTAGTTCTCTCTTCAAAGTTTAGAACGTTACTGATTTTTTTTTTTAATGTTAGTGTTATACTCAACCGCCCCTTTGTCATTTGAAACTGTGTATATATCTATAAATATAAAATATATACATATTTAATGTATGTGTATAGTGTATGAACAGTATCTGATCTGTGTACATATTTGACAGTATTTAAATCAACCAAAAACAAAAAAAAGGCCACTTAGAACAAGTCTTCAGCTTGAATGTCTGTACGGCTAGGTTTTGTTTCGTCGCACAGCAGCCTTAGAGACGAGCCCACGCTGGTTCATCAGCTCATTTACAGCGTAAATCATTCGACTGCAGCGCTCTTTTTGACTCATCTCATCTCGGATGAGGTTTTTAAGGAAAGTGTGAATGAGACGCCTCATTAACAGGTCTTGCAGGGAGACGTTGCCAAATTGAACCGGACTACCCGCTTTTTGAGCTAGTTCAAAAGCCGTCGCCTTCTCTTTTTTTTTTTTAGACGTGGAAGTGTACACTAGTTTTTGGTCTGCATTTCTTCCTTCCGCGTTTAAGGGATAAAAGGGTAACTGACCCCGAAGACTACGGATGCAAGTTATAACTGTTGCCATGTTTAAGATAAAGTCAAGTTTGTATATTTTCTTGGAAGCTTTGTGAGACTTCATGATTTTTATTGTTTTTCTTTTTAATTTGAAATCATTTAGAAATTTATCTCAAGAAATATATATATTGTTGAAATCATGCAGCACCGTTCTGGATTGAAATAAGGTGTATATTAAAGGCCTTCACACGAGCAACTGAAACCTGTGCGTAATTTCAAAAAAAAGAAACATCCTCATGGGTAGATTTTGTGTGTTACTACTGACCAAATGCTGCATGATTCCAGTACTAACTGCATGTGTTGATATAACAGCTGCACAACACACAAGCACACGCACAGATCCACAATGTTGTCATACGGTTGTATATCTATACATTTGTATCGGATGTCGAAGGAGAGTGGATGTGCAACTACACTTAAGAATAAAAGTATTCTTACAACATAGCAAATCCTGTGCAGTACTTTTCTGTTTTAATATCGGCTTATATACGGTGGATTTGTGCAAATGACAAATAAGCTTGAAGACAATTCGGTTTATTGACCTCTTTGTGTCCCCCACAACAGCTGAAAATTATTACATATGAAAATATAAATGACACTTATGGTTTATTATTACATGTAGGCCTCTAATAGTCTTTATGTATGCTGTGGCATTTCTTGGCAGTTATGATATAAATACATTTCCTTTTTTTTTGCAGCTACTGTTGTCAATTAAAATATGAAACGTACAGTACCTTAATTCGTGATCTAGAAATCAAAGCACCTTCTAAGACGATTGAGACTAAACAAGCTTTCCATGGGAGCTACTTTTACAATGAGACACAAAATATATTCATTTACTTTTCCCCATATTATAATGATATATGTTTATGAAAGATCCTGCTGAGAGCTATAAACGGTTTCATGAATGAAATTAATGGCAGCATTATAAATCTTTTATAGGTAACACTTTATAACTTTATCCAAAAAAATTATTATTATCAGTAATGAGTTTAAACAATTATGTTGGTGTATTAAATATTTCAGTGTACATGTGAATACATAATATTCACATTTGAACGTGAGAACTAATATGATAAAAATACAGAGTTCCTACAGTGGAAAACTTGGAAATGTCAGATAATTGGCACCGAAATGAATAAATGTTTGAAATTTTAAAATAAAAATACAAAATAAAAGCAGTTTTTTTATATTTCTCAGCTCTAATAAATTGAATAGACTAGAAATGTAAATTGAAATGTATAATATCATAAATTTAAAGTAATTACTGGAAAATTATATATAAATACAGCGTACACGCACATTTCCAGTAATTATGAAATGGACAAGTCATGATCAAAAGTGTAGGAACCCCCTATTATCTCTGTTAATAAATTGCTGTACTTTTATTAAAAGTTATTAAGTGTTACCCAAGATTATCAAAGAATACATAAACTAGCTCTCTCATCAAAAAAAGAAAACCTTGTAAAGTTCGATATTCCCACATAAAGACACCGGATGTAGTCTATAATACGAGCAACAAACCGTTCGACATGATCATAACCGTTTCAGAAGTGAGCTCAGCACCCCGGCCTGACGGCCATCTGTAAGAGCATCACCTGTCTGTTCTCTGTGGGATGAGATTTGTTGATGTGTCTGGTCAAGCCTGGAGAGCTGAAGAACGTGGAGGGACAGTGTTTGCATGAGAATATCTGCTGTTCTCCAGTGCCCAGATCGGGTCTGAGGAGCAGGTCGTCTCTGACCGCGTGCCAGAGTCTGTGTTTGTCCCTGATCTCCGCGGAGGGGAAGTGCGCTCCGCACAGGTGACACGGGAACGTGATCTGGCCGCTCTCGATGTGACCGTACGGGGATGCTTTGATCGTCTCGTGCTCGGCCAGGTGTTTCCTCAGGTAGGCTTGCCTGCGAAACTTCTTGCTGCAGTAGTGGCATTCGTACACCTCGTCCGGGCTGGGGGAGGGCAAGTAAGGGGTGGTGGACCTGTCGGGCTCATCGGGGCAGTGATCGAACAACCTTGAGCTTTCCGCGGGGCCGATGTGCATCTCAAAGCATTTCTCGGAGGATGGGTACCTTTGATCCAGGGGAGGGTCTTGGGAAACTCTGTGCATCATGTTGCTGTCCGGTGCTGATCTGTGGTGCTGGGAGCTGTCCGGACTCAGCTGGTGCTGATTGTGTCCACTCATCTTGCTGGCGTTCTCCTTCCCCTCCACTGAGGTCTTCTCGTGGTTACGCGCCTCCAGCGGGGACTTCTTCACGTCCCCGGTGCTCAGTCCACGGGGTTTGTGCCATCTGCGATGAGACGCGAGGTTAGCGGGACAGCTGAAAACTTTGTCGCACTCCGGGCAGCGGTATTCAACCCGCACGATTCTGGAGCACTTGTGCTGGGCCAGAGAAAACGGATCAGGGTATTCTTCCTTACAAAGCTGGCAGATGAACTCACCCAGCGGCTTCTTTCTGCCACTCTGCGGTGCCAGTTTTGACTCGGGAATTTCTTTTTTGATTTTAAGCCCGAGGACTGGTGAGGTGGTGACTTCGTCTTCAAAATTGAGCTTTCTGATGACTTTAGGCTTTTTGGGTGCTTTGCTTTTGCGCTCTGTGTCCATGAACGCGCGTTTTACGCATTGATGAAACGCGGGGTAGGTGGGCACCGAAGAGGGCACCGGTGTGCCAAACTTCATGTCCGAGTGATTCATTAACAGACGCTCGATTGAAGACACCGGGGTGGCCAAGGGAAAGGACTCTGCCATGGCTGGTGAGCTCAGACACCTTTCCAAAAACTCCGTGCAGATGGGTTTGATCGGGCTGTAGGAGTCGGTGCTGTTGCGCGGAGACGACGCGCTCTGTTCCGGGTGGCTGAAGTAGTTCTGTGCGTAATCGACGCTCTCTCCAACAACCCCAGGGTCCTCCAGAAGACGCGTCTGCTCATTTTTAGAGCTGATCCCACTTGCCCATGATTCTCTCGTAGGTTCCAGCACGTCCAGGACACTTGCATTTGGAGTTTGGCTTGGCTGGTCCTCTTTGCGCGGCTCTTTCTCTTCTTGCGCACGCACCTTGTAGGATGCTGATGAGGCTCGTTTAATCCTTTTCACTAAAAATCCTCGTGGCATCTTCTCGTCGGATTCACCCAGAGTCCAGATGAAACTGCTGAAGAGAGGATACACTGTCGCCTTGATGCTTCCCGCGCGCGTTTTATCCGTTGGGTCGCCTTCAGGTTCGGTGTGAGGTCACTGTCAATGCCGCAGTTGTGCCCAATCAGCGCTGGCATTCGAACGAAGGGGCGGGACGGGCATTAATGAGCCGATCCAGTTACAGATTCATTTCTAATGGGCAGCAGATTATTATCTCAAAAGGTCTCAGGGGATCGATGGGCTCTTTAACCTTCCCATGTTTTCAGTTTCCTGTTCGGTATTGTGAGATCGGTCCATAGATGCACTGAACTTAGTTCTTTTTATTATTATAAATGTCCATCTATACAGAACAGGCATATATTACATAGCCTACATTAATACATACATACAAAATGACATACATTTTTTATAAACGTATGGCCTATGGATTTATTTTCATTTGTACTTTATCATTTCATTTATCATTTATCATTGATAGCCTACTATATTTAAAATATTTTAAATGTTTTATTTGAAATCGATTATATATTATAGGCTATATAATTGATTTTTAAATAAAACATTTAAAATTAATTTAAAAATAATTATCCCATTTCATGTTCAAGGCTATTAGCCTGTTAACTGTCACCCCCACTTTTTTGAATAGACATGAAAATACACATTTCGAACTTAAATGGTTGTAATTCAAGAATGCTTTGGAATATAGACATATGATTGGTCTTGTTTTAAAGAAGACATTTGGCAGATTTTTGTAGAAGTGAAATAAATTAAGAAAGTGAAACAGAAAAAAAGTTATAGAAGTTTGAGTTTATGGAAATATACAATGTAAAATATTAATTCATATTTTACATAAAATATATATTTTCAAAACCTGGGCTACTCTAAAATGTCATAAAGATCAAAGCCAAAAATCTGAACAAGTTGTGTTTCAAATTTAGGTTGATATCTCAAAAATGAGCTTTCAGTAAGATTTTGTTTGAGCGCAGTACCAAACTTTTTCACTAGGGCACAATCAGACTCCATTACTGCCCATATAAGGGCGCCTGCATTTCCATTCGTGTTTTGAGTGATATGAACCATTATTTTCCAATTTTATACAATTTCTGAAGTAGAGATCCTATTCAGAAGTAGCATGGGAAGTTTGGCAGATTTTGATATGAATTGAACCTCTAAGAAACACATACAAAGAACATGCATGTAAGTCACAGCTAGCTGCCACGTCAGAAATGGTGAATTTATTATTTTTTTCTTGATATTTCAAACTTTTCAGACCTTTTTTCCCCCAAAATAATTGAATGGATTCTATCTTTTGAACTTTTGGCATGAAAACAAACTGAGGTATCTACCATTTTTTCATGATTTTTCATGTTTACTGCTATTTTAAAATAAAGGTCTGAACACGCCTTATGAGTATGAAAATATTCTTGTTTTATATTGATAAATTATGGCTCCTCTGTAATATATTTTGAAAATCAGTCACCAAATATGGAAACTAGAGATTGTAAGCTTTCAAATGATATATAGTTTGTCAATATTATTTAAGGTATTTACTAAGATATTATTGTTTTAAAAATATAGTGGCAAACGTCCCACCTGTGGGACGGTGACAGTTAAGTGGTTAGTAAAACTCAATTATTATTATTTATTTTACTTTTATTCAGTTTATCGTGTGTAGCTATCATTACCTTAATTTATTTTAACGTTTTTTAAATCAGATTTATTTAATTTTTTTTAAATAATGAAAGTTCAAATAATATGTTGCCTCGGAGAAAAAGGAAGCATATTTCAAAGTTTCTAATAATATCAGAAGATAATTCAAGCTAACTCGACTAATAAATAATACCCTCTAAATGAATAGCTTTTCTAAACCACTTTTAAGTAAAATGTCCATAGACCTACAGAAATAGCAATATATTTCTGTCTTAAATGACTGCTTTAACAGGTGTGTGCCTTTTGTTTTTAACGTAGCGTACAACTATTCAACAGTACAATACAAGAATATGTTATTGTAAGTGGTGGCCGAGCACAAGTGTCAGTGATGAACACATCTCTACAGAGGACGATGGGAATGTGTTCCACTGTTTTTCCCACGTGTGTGTGTTTGGGGTCAGACAGGCTGATAACCCGCAGAATCTGCAGACGCTGATAAGAGACGCATCTCTTTCTCCTGTGGAGGGGGTGGATCATGCTGAAGCCACAAACCTGTGAGGATCCCATTATGTCCAGCTGGGATTCTCCTCCCAGGACACTCATCTGTACAGGAAATGATCGTGAGAAACTGGTGGAGACGCTTGGCCAGTTCACTGAGGTGATAATCGTTTACACTGGGATTAGTAGAAAGTGTTTTACCACAGTGTTTTATCAGTACCTGTAATAATCAATGACTAGGCCTACTACTGTATATTTATAACCAATTATCTTTTATGAGTATAAAAAAGGACACATTAGCATTTTATAAAACGATAGATTTTTCCCGTGTTGTATTTATCACTAACACAGTTTTGGTCCATTAGCTCAAAATGATCACATGGATATCGTTATACTCAATTATGAAAATATTTCTAATGATATGTTTTAAATAGGTTAAGCATTTGCACCTTTTTATCTAGGCCTAGATTTTTTTATTTTTATTTTTTTTCAATTTTATAATTTAGGCTAATAGTGTTTTGTGCATTGGATAGTCCTACACAAAGGTTCGATTTCAATTTTAATGGCTCACTTTCTTTAAAATAATAATAAATTACGGTTACGGACAAAGTAACAAAAACAAAACATTTTGTAGCTACATTAGGCTTTTAGAAAAAAAAAAAGTGCCTTGGCCAGTTGGCTATAAATCTGGAACTTTTTTGGACGAATATTTAGATGATCTCAAATATTAAATTGTTTGCTAAAAACATTTAGTTTGAGAGGTTATTGAAGATGATATAATTGAATGAACTGTCTCTTTATCTTGTACGGAAACTGGTCGCGCGGTTTGAATCTGGTTCTTACATTCTGTCGCCATCTCCTGGAATATTTGAGCAATCGCGCTTTTCTAAAGCAGTATGTTGCAAAACCGCCCCGTTTTATAAATTCATAAACAGGTTATTTAAACTGTTTTACACACTTGTTTTGTGTGTATATATGTGTATCGTTTTCGAGAAGAATAAAACAATCTAAAAGTAGTCCTATCAAAATAATATGTATCCGTTAGAGGGCGCTGTAGAGGACTAGTGTGTGTAAAATCCTTCATAGGTTACATCTTTTTTTTTTTTTTTTACAGTTTATGGTTACATCTGGGACTGTTAAACTGCACCAAAAGTTCATGCAACTAAATGTTTTTATAAATACTATATAGCGAATATCTAGAGAGAGAGAGAGAGAGAGAGAGAGAGAGAGAGAGAGAGAGAGAGAGAGAGAGAGAGAGAGAGAGAGTAAGCAGTAGTTCCCTTTAAAAAAAAAAAACTTTTGCTGAAAATTTACTCACCCCCATGTCATCAAAGATGTCCATGTCATTCTTTCTTCAGTCGAAAAGAAATTAAGGTTTTTGATGAAAACATTCCAGGGTTTTTTCTCCATATAATGGACTTCAATGGGAACCAAACGGTTCAAGGTCCCAAAGACAGTTTCAGTGCAAACTGCAAACTGTTCAAAGGGCTTTAAACGATTTCAAACAATGAATAAGGGTCTTATCAAGCGAAACGATCGCTCATTTAAAAGATCAAGTTTAAGTTTTATAAGCTCAAATGGTCGCCTTGCTCTGTTCTGTGACTCTCCTGTTCGAACTCGTTCATCAAAATGAACGAATCTTTTCCTGAGTCAACTCGTTCATTTCGTTCGTTGAATAAAGATTTGTTCATTTTGATTATCAGCAAAAGTTTTTTTTTTTAAAGTGAACTACTCCTTTAATTGTATCTAGAGCTGAATTGACAACAAAGGGAAACCTCTATACACTATGAATATGCGTTGTCTGGTCAGCTTTTGCGTGTAAGGTAAATATGCATGGAATGCACTTGTTCTCAATACATTTCACAATCTCCTGCTTTAAATGTTAAACTACTCATAACCATTAGATAACATGGAGGACTACTGCACCCTTTCAGGTGAGAAGTCAAATTCCCTTCATTCTTATTTACCTGTGTGATTCATGGGCCGAGCTTCAGGATTCCCCTCTGCATGGAGTGTCCAGTGCTAAAAACCGGGAAAACTGTGATGACTTACTGTTTAAAAGTCCTGTGCAGTGACACACACAGCAGAATCCCCGATGACACCTCTTGGACTTTAAACAGGTCTTTTGAGGGAAAGATGGGGAAACCTAAAGAGAAGGTATAAACAGGTTAGTGATTTACCCTGTTTTCAGTTTTGAAGTGTCATATATCTCCAGTGTATAAGACATGTGAGCGACACTAGAGGAGTCTGGAAGAAAATGGAAATTCCAGTGGCGTGTGGAGAGGGTGTGTCACACATGTCCTCCCTCTATCTAAACATTCAATGTCATTCACTGTGAGTCAGCAGACTGTGTGTCAGAACATGCTGTTTCATGTGAGCAGGTTTCATATTAAACTACACTATGCTTACATGAGTGAAATCTTAGCATTTTTTTAGCCTGATAAGCTATTGGGAAAGTCACCATCATAGTTCACTGTTTAACCAGTTTCAGAGACTGGTATCTCAAGTGACCAATATGAATTTATATCAATCATACTGTTCATATAAGTTTGTGGATGGCTGCATTTAATTGAACAAAAATACTGTACAAAGAGTAAACTGAAAAAAAGAATACGCTTTATCTAATCAATAAAATTGTGGCAACATATTACAAGCAATATTATTAAATTAAATTGTACAAATTAGAATTAATTAGAATATTAATTTGATTAACTATTACTCAATTCTAATTTGTTCAATTTAATATATAATATTGCTTGTAATCTGTTGCCACAATTTTATTGATTAGATAAAGCATATTCATTTTTACAGTGTAGAATACTGTGAAATATTGTTGTGTCATGTGATCCTTCAGAAATCATTAATATGCTAATTTGTTCAAGGGTGACATTTGCTCACCCCCATGTCATCCAAGATGTCCACGTCTTTCTTTCTTCAGTTGAAAAGAAATGAAGGTTTTTGATGAAAACATTCCAGGATTTTTTCCATATAATGGACTTCATTGGGAACCAAACGGTTCAAGGTCCAAATGAGAGTTTCAGTGCATCTTCAAAGGGCTTTAAACGACACCAGACGATGAATAAGGGTCTTATCTAGGACCCTTCGAGTCATGACTCAAAAAAAGATTTGTTCATT